TAATCCAGAAAATCTCATCACTCCGGGATAATTCATCAATCCCTGACATCTCACCAAACCATACTCCAAACCAATAAATCTCATCCATTCCAAAGTATCTTAGAAGCAAACAAGGATCGTTCATTGACCCCTGATCATCACAATTCTTCTCAGGACCCCAGCCTGGCTCCAGATCACTGGGATTGTATACTAAACAGGGATCACACATTAAACAGGGATCGCCACTCTTCTTAGGGTTATCAATCTTCTTAGCCTCGCCATTCTTCTCACAATCGCCAGTTTTCTTAAAATCATTGTTTTTAAATCTTCAGTCGTCCTAACTCCATCAGAGTCCTCATCAATCTTAAAATCTTTACTCTTCTTATAATCGTTATTTTTCTTAAATTTATCAAGCTTAAAACCATCAGTCTTCTTAAAACCATCAGTCTTCTTAAAACCATCAGCTTTATCAAAGCCATCATCATTCCTAAAATCTTCATTCCACTCACTATCGTCATTCTTCTTAAAATTCTCAGATGATTCAGTCGTTTTAACATGTTTATATACAAAGGCAACCGCGCAAGCCTACAGATTTGAAGGACTATGGTGAAGGTATAGCAACTTAAAGAATTCAAGATCTAGCTAATCAATTTGAAAATGTGATTTTTATGAACGTACTTAATTAAAGGAGAGTAATAGATGAAATCCTTCTGCTTTTTCCAATAAAATATGTTTTATTTTGAAATATTTGTTTGTTTTTTTAACTTATAGAAATGCCTCTGCTCCCCAAAACTACTTAAACTTTATTTACCCTTCTCTTCTTCCTCCCTCCTTTTTAATATCTTTAATCATATTTCTCCTTCAACCCTCCTTTTGTGTAAACAAAACTCCCCCTTTAATTTATTATCTATTTACTAATGTATTGTATCCTTGCCTTTCCATCGTAACTTTATACAATAAAGGGTGAACCTCATGGTCATTCTCAAACATTTAACATGCAGGGTGTCACAGAAAAAAATTTCAATCGAAAATGCATTTTGACATTAAATATTTGTAACGTAATCTTTATTTTTTTTTAAATAAAAATTTAGTGATTTTCGAGTTTTTTGTTTAAATACAAAAATTTTAACCAAAAATTGAACATTATTCACTACAGGACACCCTATTTTTAACCTTCCTCTTGTCACTCTTAAAAGGGTTAGCTGTGGGAAGGGGGGTGGGTACAAAAGCATCTACCCATTTATCAAGTACTTTGGGGTGCACAGAGGAGGGTAAAACTGGATGGTTTGGTTTGATGGTTGAGGGGGGGGTTGAGGATTGAGGGGGGGGGGGTTAAGGATTGGGATGGGGATTGTGCATTTCCCATCTTTCCAATTCTTTTAATCCTACCCTTCAATTAACTATTTTATACATAATATTTCATGGTACAACCAACCTTCTGCAATATTGTCTTTTTTTTAAGCATAAAATAAGCTTTACAGTGCAAATTCTTCACAATAACAAACTGCAAATATCAAGCATGTATAAAAACAACAATTATAAAACTGTATTTTATACCATCATCATCCTGGTTTACTTAATGCGTTTTCGATATTGTTTTCATAGATTTATAGCTTATACTCACATCATAATACATCAAACCAATTCAATAAAATTTGGAATCTCAAAAAGAAAAGAAATTACTCAAAAAACTATATGAATATATCTTTTCATATTTATAAGGTGAAATGAAAAAAAGTGCATGATTTCTGTATCAACATAATTTGATATCTTGCTCTAAATCCGCCAAAAATATTTACTTTAATAATTGAAATACACAGTCCAATAAAAAAAAGTATGCACTAGCAAATGCGAAAAATATTCTTTCCTGTGTTTGTGGCTTGATTGTTTGGTACAAAACGTAAATTAAAAAAAAAATTGACTCAAATAATTCAACCACTTCCCTTTAATTTTATTTATTTTTCCAACAATTTTTTTTTAAAAATTGAAAGTATACAACATCAGATTGCAAATATATAATAGTTTGAAATTTTAGTTTGAGGCAAAAGCTGCAACTTAAGTGTACAAAATACTTAAATTTTTTTAAACCTAATATTTTTCCAATAAAGAGGCTAAAGAAGTCTTTGGTAATTAAAAACTAGCGCTTGTTTCACTTTGAAATGGTTTTCAAAGTGCTTTAAATATACTTTTAGATTGTTTCGAGTTATTTCCTATAAAACTTTTTGTTTAATTTTAAATTCCAGCATAAATAAAATCTTCCGTTAGAAATAAAATGTTCAACAAATTCTTGAAGATAGAAAAAACAAACAGACAGAAAAAATTGTAAAAGTATCTTTTTTATGATCTTCCAGACAGTTATTCCCCATAACATAACCAACCAATGTGTGGAATGCAGATGTGTCAGCTGATAAGAATATTAGAAGACGACAAGGTCCATATTTGGTTTGGATTGGGAAAGGAGCGTGAAACTCGTGGATTATCGCATAAGCTTGTAATACGATACAACACGACATCACACCTAACCAAACCAAACCGAAAAGAAAATGTTTAAAGAGTTTTATTTGGGCCTTCAGTCCTAAGCTACAGTATCCGGTATTTAAGATATTTCATAAATGAACATTTAATACAAAGGACAATACATAGACGGGGAATTTAATGCACATGTTTATATAGATAATTTTTTTTCTATAGATAAGGTATAACGTATATTGATATATGAAACAGGTTTTCGTCTTTTTATGAATTGTCTTAATATGAAAATGTTCATCAATACAATGTTTTATCTATGAAATGTAAATCTGTGAAATGCTTTTCTATTATATACATCTATAAAACATACCAACACCCTTTAATCAATAGGTGTCTTTACGTTTTTTTCTCTACAAACAAACATAGCCTTAGTCGTATTATGGAATATCTAAATTTTAACAAAACATTTTTTTATAAATTTTAAAATCCGTCAGATTTTAGCAGTAATTAGTTCATACCTTCTTTATGAACTGTTGTGCAAACCTTGCATGTGCAAACTCTAGAAAATTGCTAGGAAAAATGCAAAATTAAAGGAAACCGCATTGCAAAGTTTTGCTTTACAACTTGATTTGTTGAATAGGTTCCTATTTTGCGCTTAAATCACAGGCCAGGGAACAAAGGTTAGAAGGGTGTGTACGCTGTACAGCATCTTCTTTATTTGTTTATTTTGTTTACAAATGATAGTATTTGTGAGTCTAGATTATGGTCTATTGTTTGTTGTATAACGTGGTATTGTATTCCAGGGATTTGAACGCTTCACATTCTTTAAAACGTAACTTAAAGAGACTGTAAGCGTAATTTCAAGTGCCCCTTTATGCAAAGATGGCAATGTCAGATTTACAACGGTACCTTTAAAAATTAACTAATCAAAAATGTGGAAGAAACAGCCCTTTTTCTAACTCAACAAGTGTCAATTTCTGTAAGTTTTTTCATTGCCTTTTTTTGCAGAGAAAGTGCTAAAGAAAAAAACCAGTTTAAATAAACAAAATCATTGATATATAATTTAGAATTGATCAGACAAAGCTTTTAAGTTGTAAATCGTGAATTGCTATCTGCGCATTTAGGGTCAAACTTCCTTTAATGAACTTTAGAATAATTGCAATTATATAAACATTTCTCGGAAGAAATAGTTTGTAAAAAATTGACAAAGAAATATAATGCAGTACACTGTGTAAAATAGAAAGATACCTTTTGTACTTTAGAAATGGATTTAAATAGTCTTATCTATATGATAAAACAAGATATTCGTATATATATATATATATATATATATATGTTGTCTATAGCCTGGACACTCAGGGTTTGCCGCGTTAAAGGCAAAAAAATTCTAAAATTTTCTCAAAATTGTTTGCTTTCTTTTTTAAAATTTTTTTTCCACGATAACGCCGGGCCCTTCAGCTAGTATGACATAAAACACAACTGTGCAGTGTACTGTACACAGACCCATTTCACTTAATAAGATGATTTCCAACCTACTTCTTGAAATATTTGCTTTTAAACTCAGGATACGAATATAGCACATATTGCTTTATAATGGCGCAAGGACAGCTACTGTTAAACATTATTTCAGAAGCAGCGCCATAAATGGACGGGCACAGGGAGGCAAGAAAAAGAGAATCTGTGGACGTGCAGATGGAGAAAGGAGAAAAAATATGAATATTTGAAATTATTAACTGTGCCTCTTTAACTTTTATTTTACAAAAATTATAAAAAATAAATTATAAAACATTTTTAAAAAACTTGAGATTACTTAAATGTCATATTCTTTTTTTCCCGAAAAAAAACTGTTTTAAGTTTAATTAGGTCAAAATTAGAACTTTTATTGCCATACAGTAAGTCTGGGATTTGAGTTTTATTTAATTTTTTTGCATCCGACTTTATTTGAACTAGCTTGAGAACCCAGAGTTGCCCAGGGTTCTCATAGTTACTCCCACCGTTTACCCGCGCTTGGTCGTGAATTACAATTTTATACAAGTGGACTATTTTATAATCTCAAAACTATGCTAATAACATTCCCATAGTTTCCCGAGCTTCACAATCAAAATTTGGGGCAAATCGGTCAAGGGGTTCATAAGTTGTGATCGGACAAACCAACAGACAAACAGAGATTACATCTTTATAAATGCAGAATGGTCCTGGGAATGTAGAGGCTCTTTATTTTTTATCTTTGAAATAATTGCAAGAGCTCAAGTTGTGAGAAGAAGGCGTAAATATTTCCTGTCATATTGTTTTACCGTTAAAAATGAAACCCTGCACGCGGATTTATTTTAAATTTGGTCTTTCTATAAACTTATAATTTGTGGTGGAAAAGTGGAATATCTTTTCAGCTTTTTACAGGGTTACAAAGGATGAGCCTTTAATGACGACCTGAAACTCTTCAAATATGACAATCTGAATATTCAGTAAAAAATATAATTTTTAGATTGTGACAGAATTATACAGATTTTTCTATTTAAAGAGAAAAGTTTTTTATTTAAATAGTTTTGACTCACCTAAAGCTAATCTTAAAATCATCTTCGGAAAATGGGAGTTGGAAGATGGAGAAGATAGAAGATTCACTAGGAATCCGCATATCTTTGTTTACAGTGTAGTGCACTGCATGGTTTGTGGGAGGAATCTAAACAAAACTCTGCCTGAGCAGCGAAGTGGTTTACATTCCCCAAGAAACTGCAGTACATTTGTTATATAAACAAATATAGGGGCTTCCTGGTTTATTTTTCTTGGCCCTGTCAGTCTATATATTACATTGTCTGTTAAGCAGGATATATTGGGCATTTTAAAATACTTCAAATTACTGTTGGAAGATGGACAGTATGTAGGCAATACTGATCTCAAAAATATAATGGAGTTTAGAATGCAAATTAATCTTGACTTGTCTTCTGTATTCTAAGTTAATGTTTTTTATTTCCACGCTATGCATGGATTGTGTATGTGTTCATCAAAAAAAACGTCCTATAAAACCAATAAAATGACCGCCGTAAAACTATCTAAACAACGGTCCCAGACCCCCCGAAATTCTAAAACTATCAAATAAAAGGCCGAGAACTATTAGAATTGATCGTCCAAGAACCATCAAAAACTTACCTAAAAATTATCGAAATAACCGTCTTAGAACTATCAAAATATCCTTGCTAAAACTATTGAAATAATCTTACTAGAAATATCGAAATAACTGTTCTAGAACTATCGAAATAGTCGTCCTGGAACGATAAAAAAACCTTCCTAGAACTATCGAAATACCCGCTCTAGAACTTTAAAAAAACCGACCAAGAACATACATATATATATACACGAATGTCTTGTTTTATTGTATAGATGTTTAAAATGCATGCATTTAATAAAAATATCTCACACGGTTATCCGCGCTTGGTCTTAAATTACGATTTTAGCTATTTTTACCTTTAAAAGTGGACCCACTCAACTTAGAATATTAGAACCAAATTAAGAACATTAACGTAGTTTTCCCGAGCCGAGTTCCCCAATCAAAAGGTTCATTAGTTATGATCGGACATACAAACAAACACCCAAACTGAGATTACAACTTTATACATATAGATAGAAGGACCTGGGGCAGGGGGGGAGGAAGGGATGGGGCGTATAAAATTGCTTCCATTTACATTGTTCATCTTGTTCTTTTGTTGTCAAAGATCAAGATACTGATATAGAAATACAGGACAAAAGTAAAAATAAAATCAACACAAATATTTTATAAATTTGTTCGTCACAGACAAACTTTTTTAAAGATATTATGAAAATAATATAATCTTATATTTTTTCTAAGTAGGGTGTGAAAAATCACAAGGTAAATACTCGTTTTAGAGGCTGTTACCTCCATTTAAAGGTTGAAATGTTCGATTTACAACGGTACCCTTAAACAAATTGGTTTGATCAAGAATGAATTTGATATTAAAAGTGATTTGCATATTTTTCTTACAGAAATATAATGAAGGGTATTTTTCAAGCTTTTTCAAGCTTTTCAAGCTAGATAAACGACGAAATCTACCAAATTATTGATGATTAATAGGGTTTGAAGGGTACTGTTTTGGATCGTGCATATCCCATCTTTAAATAAGTGATTATTCACCATTACGACAGTTTCTTAAACGTGGTAAAAAACTAGACTGCTCGCATTTCTTGAATTAGGCCTGTGATCCAAAATATTGCATTTAATGCTTGCATGCACTTTGATTCTATACGATTGTATGCCTGTATATTCATGGTATATAGGCTTGGAATTTAAGTATATAGGTCTGAAGGAAGTGATGGGTAGTTTGAATAAGTGAAGCGTGCATACTGCATAGGAGTATGTTGGTGTGGGTTTGTGTGTTTGGTTTGTGTGTGTGTGTGTGTGTGTGTGGTATGTTTGTCTATGACCTTCATTTCATGACCCTACTACCATCGTACGCTAAATACTTATCTGTCTACAGGGTGTCCCAAAGCATCTACCTGCAGGGTGTACATTGATATATATCTACCCACAGGGGGTCCAATGAAAAAACATCTACCAGAATATGCATCTTTCTACACAGGGTGTCTCGAGAAATGTATCTTCCAACAGGATGTACCAAGAAATGCATAGTTCTATACAGGGTGTCCAAAGAAATGCATTTTCCTACAGGATGTACCAAGAAATGAGTCTTCCTATACAGGGTGTCCCAAGAAATGAATCTTCCTACAAGGTGTACAAGAATGTGCATAAACCAACACATGACAATGTGAGTGCATTGCATTCAATGTCTGCATGTGTCAGTTTATTGAATTTATATGCATCTAAATCTTACACCTTATATCTCATACATCATAGTACATTACCCATCAAGCCATTATCCAACAATTCCATCCACGCTTCATTCATTCAGTCTTATCCCACCTTCATTCATTTATCTATTTATCTATTTATCTATAAATATATATGCATGTAAATCTCACACCTTATATCTCATACATCATAAGTACATTACCTATCAAGCCATCATTAAACAATCCCATCCAAACTTCAATCATTGAGTCTTATCCCACCTTCATTCATTTATCTATTTATCTATTTATCTATAAATATATATGCATGTAAATCTCACACCTTATATCTCAAACATCATACTGCATCATCCATCAAGCCTTCATCCATCAATTTCATCCAAGCTTCATTCATTTAGTCTTATCCCACCTTCATTCATTTATCTATTTATCTATTTATATAAATATATATGCATGTAAATTACACACCTTATATCTCATACATCATAGTACATTACCTATCAAGCCATCATTAACCAATTTCATCCAACCTTAATTGATTTATCTATTTAAAAATATATATGCGTGTAAATGTCATACATCATATACTACATTACCTATCAACCCTTCATCCAACAATTCCATCCAAGCTTCATTCATTTAGTCGTATTCCACCTTTAATTATTTATCTCATATCCCATGTTTTTAATTATTTATCTCACATCCCATGTTTTTAATTATTTATCTCACATCCCTTGTTTTTAAACACTATGGTTGAAACCATTTAAAGTTAAACTTGGATTTTAACAGGTTAACTCTTTCTTAAGATTTCTAATGTTTGCGAACAAAAATAAAACAGAGAGTTGTATATCAGCTCAAATAATTTGATGTCAAATAGTGACCGAGTATACAAATTTAAATTGATAATGAAAGGTTGTATAAAGTAGTTGTAAAATTGTAAAAAGGGGATAGTTAAAAATAGTTATATTTCACTAAGATTATCTTTGCTTTTCTTTTATTCTCTTTAATTCCTTCATGTATGATTGTACATATAAAAATGCGGATAAACTACAACTTTGAAATTCATCGCCATTTGCAATTATTGTTCTCAGATTAGGCCAATCAGGCAGTCCGACACATACCCACGATAAATGAAAGTTTAGAGACAACTGTACAGTGTACATATACTTGGTTCCGTCTTTTTTCCACTGCCTTTATAGACATAAGACAAAAAATATCTTCAGGTCGTCATTAAACTCTGTACATAGTTGTAAAACAGGGGCAATTTGTATTCGACCTGAAGTTTTTAAATCAAAATGATTAAACAAACCTGAGCTGAAAACTTTAGAATAGTGGATATTGAGATTAATGTGTGATCCTTTCTTTTTCATAATATCGAGAGTAATCTAATCTTGTACTTGTATCCTGAAAAGTGTATAAAATTCAACAATCCATATTAAGCCGATAAAGGAATTGAGTCTTTGCCACAAACTCTGATTTTCCAATCCCTATATCTTTGCAACCCAATGTCTTAAACCTTATTTATTTCAAACTAAGTATACTGTTAGATCAAATAATCTTAGTTTGAAATATCAAAGGTTTACTCCATCAGGTTCCAAAGATATAGGGATTTAAACATTTAAGTTTGTGGCAAAAACTCAATTCCTTTGAAATTTAAGATTATATACAGAAATGGCAGGAACTCTCTAATTTAGAAAAACCGGTTTTTGATTTTTCTCTACTATATCCAAGAAAGAACGGGTTAAGAAGAAAATCAAAAGTTTGTCCATTGGATACTTAGATTAAGTAATCGGGATTAAGGATATATCATTCTAAAGTTTTCAGCTCAGGTACCTAACAATAAATAGGAAATGAAAAAAGATGTTACTAAACGCATGCAATATGAAAAAAGTAAAAAAAAAACCAATTTAAAAGAAATAGAACATTAACATTAAGAAGTAGACATTAAGAAAGAGTCAAAAGTGAGAGGAGAGGGAACAGAAAAAAATTATGTAACTTTACCATTCATCCCTGTTTTTGTCCTGTAAATTGTAAAGCATAAATTTTCACGCCCGTTGCGACTCTAGGAGGGGGAAAGGCGGAAAGCGTTGGGTTGAAGGCAACATATCAGCTCTCTGTATATGTAATGCATGATTCAATATTGAATACCACTGGGAGGCAACTAATCCTTCCTTTTCACGACCCAGGCTTAGAGCACAGTTCATATAGTTATGCAAACTAGGTTTACAGAACATCTGCATTGGGAGGGGGGGGGGGTGAAAGGCTTTACATAAGAAAAATATAGCACGAAATGGAAGAAAAAAAGAGTTTTAAGTAATAATTAAAAAGATTGAAAAATCGTTCTGTGAATTATAATATTCTGCATTTTGCCAATCCTTTTTCCATCATTATACAATAATTTTACCAAACAGCTAAATGTATCAAATGTTATTTTTTGGTTGCAAACTATGATTTTGGCCATAACAAACTGTAAATTGTCCAAACTGGCAAAGAAGGTTTTACTCTCACAGGTAGAAACACTCGGGCTTGGAAATTAATTTCGATATATTTTATATCCTCGTCAGTCCTTAAAGAATGGTGGTATTGTCAAAACGAACTGTCTCAGAACAAACCATTAAACGAAGCAAAACCTCTTCACAGTTGAAGTGCAGATTCAAATACGTACAACGATGCAAATTTAGAAAACAACAGTTTTTGGCAATAATGAACGATTTGCGAAAAATTGCTCAGCTCTCGTTTGGTTCCTAAACCCCATCAGCCCTATTTGGTCCCTATCGCCCATCCTTCT